TCAGCAGCAGCGGCGACGGAGCAGCGCAAGCGAGCAGCAGGGCGCCCAAGCCCCCGTCCACGGTGGGCCTTCCCCTCGGCGCCCAGTGGGCAGCACGCGTGGCCCTGGCCGCCGAGTGCCCCAGCCTGCTCCCCTTGGCCGACTGGGCCGCTGAGGCCAGGGCCGAGGCGGAGGCCGATGGAGCAGCCTTCGCCGTCATTCGAGGCCAGGGCTTCAAGGAGTGGATCCGTCACTCCATGGCTGAAGGCGCAGGCGGGCTCCACGCCTATCGGCGCGGGCCCAGGGCATGGGCCCCTGACGACGAGTACAATGGGGCCCCAGCCCATGCCCCAGACCGAGTGAAGGTTGTGGCGAAGCAATGGTCAACAGAGGTCTGGCGGGTCAGGCGAGACCGTGACAGGTTTCGGCCGCAGCTCCCGCGCTCTGGCGGCGAGGCCCTCCCCAGGCCCTCAGCCGATGAGCTGCGCATGGCCGCCAGGACCTTCAGGCACGGCACTGGCGTCGGCAGCGACCGCCTCAACCCACGGAAGGCCGCGGACCTCAGCGACGAGCTTCTGGAGGCAGTCGTTGACTTCGGGATGAAGTGTGAGGAGATCGGCGGCTGGCCCGACGTCATCACGGACTCGCTTGTGGTCATGCTTCCGAAGCCCCAGGGCGGGTTTCGGCCCATTGGGCTGCTGGGCTGGCTCCCTCGCCTTTGGAGCCGAGTCCGTCAGCCCGTGGCGCGGCGCTGGGGCTCGCAGATTGACCCTGGCGTCGCAGGCGCCTTCTGGGGGGGGCGCGGCCGCGGGGCCGAAGAGGCCGTCTGGTGGCAAGCCCTGCGCGCAGAAGCCGCACACGCACGTGGAGAAGGAGCAGCAGCGGCGCTCATCGACCTATGGAAGGCCTACGAGCTCGTGGACCTGGCCATCATCCAGGGCCGTGGCGTCCTGGCTGGCTACCCTCGGGGCCTGCTGGGCATGGCCCTCACCCTGTACGCGGGGGAGCGCCGCTTCATGCTTGATGGTAGCGTGTCCGAGCCCTACCTGCTGGATGCGGGACTCATCGCGGGGTGCTCGCATGCGGGTCGGCTCCTCAAGTGCGGCCTGCTGGTGCTCGCGGACGAGCATGCGCGGCTGTGGCGGGCGCTCGAGCCCAGAGTCACCCTCGCCATCATGTTCGACGACTGCTGCGTCGGCTGCCACGGACCGATGGCACAGGTCGCAGCCTACGTGGCCCAGGCGACGAAGGCGGTCATCTCGCAGCTGGAGGCCCTAGGCTGCAAGGTCTCAGCAGCAAAGAGCGAACTGCTGGCCAGCTCGCCAGAGTTGGCATCACTGGTCGCCAAGCTAATGGGAGGCATCGCCTTCCCCATCGCCGACTCGGTCAAGAACCTGGGGGTCGACTACTGCCTCGACGGCCAGGCGTTCGTGGTCCTCGAGAAGCGGCATATGAAGGCGGCATCCCAGTTGCAGAGGTTGCACGCCATCCGCTCGCAGGAGACCCCAGCAGCAGCTCGAGTGGCGAACACTGGTCTGCGGCCTGCTACTCGCTATGGGCTGAGTGTGGTGGGTTGGCCGACGTCGCAGCTCAACAAGTGGAGGAGCCAGGTCAACGCCGTTCACCATGGGCGCGGCCAAGGCAAGAGCCTCAGCCTCAGTTTCCTCCTCAGCAAGCGTCTGCACTGCGACCCGCTGTACGACCACGTGGCGCTGCCCATTGTCGCATGGGCCAAAGCGGTGCAGTTCAACTCGGACAGTAGGGACCTGAGGGCCCTGGGCAGCGCTTTCGCAGGGGCTAGGACGTTGCTGGCCAGAGGCGGGCCTGAGGCGTTGGCTGGACGCGGGCCAGCTGCTGCGTGCGTGTTAGCCTGCCACCGCCTGGGCTGGACCGCCACACTGCCAGGGTTGCTCACCAACGACAAGCAGCAGCCGCTGGACCTACGGACCCTGGGGGCCTCCACGCTCGCCAAGCACATCGCCGATGGCCACGAGAGGGCGCTGTGGCGAGCAGCGAGCAAGCACCCAGGGCTGGAGCATCTGCGCGATGGAGGCGCCCTGTCCAGTATCAGGCGCACACTGGCACGCAAGCGCATGAGCAAGCAGAAGGCCAAGCAGATGAGTTCTGCCAAGAACGCGCTGGTCGGATGTCTCTGGCCCGTGGCGCGGCGGTTCTTTGAGGAGCGCCCATTGGCCTCCTCTCCTTGGTGCCCCAGGGGATGCCCTGCGCACGGCACAGTGCGGCACCTGGCGTGGCAGTGCCCAGCCACCGAGGCTAGCCGCGCCGAGTGGATCTCCAACGAGGAGGCGGACGAGCGGTGCCCCCATGGCGACATCCCCTTTCGCACCATCGTCGGTATGGCCAGCATCGGGGGAGAGGAGGACCCGCTCTGGTCCCGCGCTCTTGCACCCGAGCACCGAAGGGCCCTGCCACCGCCCACCGACACCAGGGAGGCGCGGAAGGAGGGCCGTGCCGACTTGGTGGGGCAGCCGCTCTCGGGCGACCTCTTCACGGACGGGAGCGTTCTGGACCCCAGCCTCGTCTCGGCGCGCGGCGGCTGGGCGGTCGTCGTCATGGGACCCGACGGCGAGGCAGTCAGCCTCTTCGGCCCGCTCCCCTGGCCGTATCCACAAGAATCAGGGGCAGCGGAGCTGGTGGCAGCCATCGAGGGCATCCAGAGCTGCTTACCACCTGTGCGGATCTTCACCGACTGCAAGCTGCTCGTGGACGGCTTCGCGGCGGGCAAGGCGTGGTGCCTGCAGTGGCAGCGGCCTTACCGCGAGCTGTGGGTGCGGTTCTGGGCGGCCCTCGACGACGTAGGGGTCGGCAGCGTCACCGTCCACAAGGTGAAAGCGCACGCCGCGCTGGCGGACGTGCAGGCGGAGCGCGTCACGGCCTGGCAGCGGCGGGGCAATCACAGCGCCGACGCCCGCGCCGTGCAAGGCGCGCAGATGCATCCCAGCGACGACGACGTGCGAGATAGGAGCCGCAGGCAGGATCGTCTCGTCAAGAAGGTCTTCTGCTGGCTGGGTGCGGCGATGCAGGACGGCGACGCCGAGCTCACAGCAGCGGACGGGCACGAGGGCCCAGGCATGGAAGCAGTTCGGTGCGATTGGCGCGGCTGCAAGATGCGATGGCGAGCTCACTGCAGTTTCCCCGACTGCCCGCAGCGCACGTGCGGGCGGCACGGGACGTGGCTGGACGTCGACGGCGACACGGTCTGGGCCTGCCAGCAGTGCGCGGGCAGGGGCGACGCGCTCGCGGGCTCCTGGGCCTCTGGGGCCGAGAGCAGTGGCGGATCGGTAGCTGCAGCCGCGGCGCTCATCACGGCGGGCGCGGCGCTGCTGTCCCACAGTCAGGCCAGCGAGGCACCAGCATTGGTGGAAGGAGACGAGGCGCGTGCAGGGCGAGTCGGCAGCGGCGCGCCTGGCGGCGGCCAGCGGGGAAGCCCACCGACGTCTGGGGGCCCTTCTGGGGCCGGTGGCGGGCCCCCGCCGCTGCCGCCGCCGCAGCTCCCGCCGTGGTGGGGATTCGACGCCCACGGCTCCCACGACCTGTGGCGGGCTGGTAACCACCTCTTCTGCGTGAAGTGCGGCTACTGGACGCAGAGCCGCAGGATGGCGGGCCTGGCAGCGGAGTGCCCGAAGGCCCCCAAGAACGATAGGCAGAAGGCGGTGCTCAGCAGGCTGAAGCGCGGCCTGCAGCCCGCTGGGACGGGCGGCATCGGTGACCCTGAGCCGCTGCGGCGCATGCGCAGGCGCGTCGATGGTGGCTAGGCTCTTTCTTGCCACGCTTGCCGCCTCGCTCTGTCTGCCAACAATTGAACAGACGTGTGTTTAGCACACGGCTGTTCGGGCTGCCTCTGCAAGGCAACCAAACCCTACTTTGGTGCCTCAGGTCGCGTGAGGGTGTTGCCTTGCGGGGGCAGTCGCTGCTGCGAGGCGCGTCCCGCGCCGCTCTCCAGCAGCGCCGCCCGTCCCAGTGCTGAGGCGGAACCAAGTGCGTAGGGGTTTCCACACGCACGGGATCGGGCTCGGCTGCCAGCGGCAACGTAGCAGGTTGGCATCTGGCCAGGACCCGCTGCGATGTTGGTGGCGAGGTGCAGCCGCTTGCACGGTGCTTAGCGGGCGCGCTTGTGCCTTGCATGCTCGCCCTGCGGAAGCTGAACCAGGTGCGTAGGTTCGCCCACGCACGGGATCGGGCCCCGTCTGTTCTGTGTTGCTCTGCCCCCGCTCTCGGGTGGAGGCTGAACCAGGAGCGTAGGAATTCACACGCTCGGGATCGGGCTCTGCTGCCAGCGGCAACGTTACGTCCCTTGGACGCGGCGATGCTGCAGGCTAGGCAGCCTCTGCTCGGCGCTCGTGTCCCGCTCTTGAGCTAGCTCGTGCCGTTGCACGGCTCTCGCTCGAGCGGAAGCTGGACCAGGTGTGTTGGTTTCCACGCACTGGAGCGCTCCGTTTAATGTAGTGGCTGGCGCGCTTGCCGCGACGGCCAGCGCTTCTTGCGCCCCAGCTTGCTCTGCTCTGTGCCGCCAGTCGGAGGCTGGACCGTGGTGGTAGGTTCGCACACCGCCATGGTTGCCTCCGAAGGCCACCGCATTGCGAACCTTCCCTGTCTGTGGCCTGGTGCCAGCGGGAGGTTTGCGGTGCTGTGGCACCTCGAGCCAGCATGCTGGGTTGCCGTGAATGCTCGATGCCCTGCCTTCCGCTTGCCTCGGCCGAGGCGGATGGCGTGGCCTCTAGTCTTCAGGCGAGGCTGCGAGTGTGCCTTGGGCACGGGCCAGGCCTTGCGTCCGCAGCGCCAGAGGGAAAGGCCATGGCTTCGGGAGGCTGTATCGAGCGGGGAGCTCCAGACCTTCTTGGATGCGTGGATCATCATCATCATTATCATCATCATCATCCATCATCCATCATCCATCATCATCATCAGCATCAGCATCAGCATCATCATCATCATCACCATCACCATCATTATCATCATCATTATCATTATCATTATCATTATCATCATCACACGCATCCAGCCGGCTTTGGCCCGAGCTAATTTGCCGGCGAGAGGCAGAGCGCGCCGCGCCCGTCACCATCCTGACACATCCACGACGTTACCCCCGATTGATTGCTCGTTCGGATGCAGCTCCTGGGAGGTCAAGTCTCGGAATCGGCGCTGGCATGTCTTCGGTTACATGTGAGAGTGGCCCCTCGCCAGAGTGATCTCTGGTGCGGGCCCAGTGGGGTCCCCCCATCGGTGAATGCGCTGCGATGGCAGCAGCTTGCGCCCTTGGGTTTAGCTCCCCCGCGCCCCCCTCAAGCCGCGCACCACAGGTCACTCCTGCCTAGGGTCATCTTTGCGTGCAGCCGACATGGTCGAGGACAGGCCTGATCTGGCGCAATCCCGTCGGACTCCGCTCAGTTCAGCTCGATCGCATTCTCTTCTGGACCTCGTCGGGGCCAGTCCGGCTGAGGGGGCCCCTAATCGGGCTTCGTTGCTTACAATCGTTTCCTCCTCCTCCTCCTCCTCCTCCTCCTCCTCCTCCTCCTCCTCCTCCTCCTCTCCCACGGAACCAGATCCGATGTCTTCATTTTTTATTACGGGGCCCCTTGAAGTTCAGACCTTTTCCTCAGGGCCAGCTTTTCGTCCCGAGTCGTTTTTTGTTGACCGTCCTGGAGCCGGGCGAGGGCCCCTGGAGGCCGAAAACTACCAAAAATTGTCCGTCGTGTTGGGAAGACCTCGCAGGAGTTGCCTCCCAATCTTTGAGACCCGCCCGCTGGGCCGCCTCCAGAAGATGATGCGCAGGTCTAGGCCTCCCAGATTGGGTCCGAGTGGATGGTGTAGGAAGGATCGCGCCGCATCGGCGATGTTTTCTCCGCGCCGACGTCGCCGACGCATCGCCGATGTCGTCGGCGTTCGGCGATGCATCGGCGATGCGGCGCGATCGTCCGACCCCATCTGCGCACTCGGACCCCGTCTGGGAGGCCCCTGGCAGGGACAGCCCCGTGTGCTCCACCGCCGACGAGTGGGAGCCCCCTCGGTCCAGCGGCGCGTCACCGGCCTCGTCAGCGGAAGCGGGCCCCCTGAAGCTCGCGGGGCGAGCCAGCGGCCGCCAGGCCATCGAAGAAGGAACAAGTGCAGACTTACTCGGGGTGGTCGCCCCCCTCCCCCCCTGGGATCTACGGGTGGGGGTTGGGCGCGTGCTGTGGGAACGGGTGTGGGGGAGTTGAGGAGGAGGAGGAGGAGAAGAAGAAGGAGGCGGAGGAGGGGGGAGGAGGAGGAGGAGGAGGAGGAGGAGGAGGAGGAGGAGGAGGAGGAGGAGTGGGGTGTTCGGCAAGCTCTGTCGAAAGGACAATCGTCCTGGCCTTGCTACTATCCCATCCAGAGTACCTTCCCAGAGATCCGAGGCTCAAAATTGGAGCGGCCACTTTCTGGCCATTTTCGGTTCCTGGGGGCCCCTTACGGGCCCCGGGATCGTCAACAGACGACTACGGACGAAAAGCCTATCCTAGGGACGTCGTCCAGATCCCTGGGACCCCCCGCGCCGAAAAAGTGGGAGCGCTGGATGTCTGGGTTCAAATCCGAGCGTCGCAGCAAGAAACTCGCGACGGCCAGTTTTTCAGAGGTTTCGGCCTCCCAGGGGCCGCTTCCTGGCCCCAATACTAAAATCCCCCGGAATTATTGGGGGTGATATATACAACATAAAACGAAAACAAAACAAAGCCAAGCCACACATAGGAACGATGCCAAATTGGGATTTTTGGGACAGTCAGCAGAAACGACCCAGGATGAGAGGCCGGTCCTGGGCAAGTTGTCCAGATCCCTGGGGGTCGGCGTCGCGGACAAAAATACAGCGTCGCAGGAGAGGGTACGCGAGGCGTCCCGAAGAGGGCCTTGCCTTCGGGGATCGAAGGGGTTGCCATCTCTTCCTCGGCGGAAGCGCGGCGGAAGGCGGCGGCCGAAATAGCTGCGCCCCACAAGAGATGAAAACGTCTTTGGGCTCAGGGTTTCCGCAACCGGCCGTGTGAACATACAGTCGAGCATCTGATTAAAAGCCTCCTCCCGAAAAGCTGGGCCGGCGTCTCGTGACCGGCTTGCCGGAAAAAGCTGGCTCGGTCTCTGGAGCGCGCTCGCCCCATCCAGCGTTCGCGGCAGAAGTTGGCCCGGGCTTGTTCCCAGAAGCCTCCGGGAAGTTGGCCCAGATTCTTAGGCTTACGCCACACCGCCGACCCCTTGTTTATGCCAATCTGGGGGTAGTAGAAGCTGCGAAGGGGTGAAAAGGCGAGTGATATTTGTTTGGTGTCTGTTCGCCGCCACCGCCAGAGGGTCTCGGGCATTTCTTGAGTGATATGTTTCTTGATCACGTTCTCGGCTGTGCATGAACCTCCGGCGGCCCGCGCGGGCTTCTCGGACCTCCGCCGGCGCCGCCCCTGGCGGCGCCTCCGGCGGGCCAGGGAGGGGGCTCCTGCGCCGATCCAGGGAGTCCGCGCGCATCGGAGGCCTAGAGGTTGACACCAACACCAATATCGGCGTTGTGCCTCCACCGAGGGAAGAACATCCCAATCTCGGTGATGGTGGTGATATTCTGGCTTCCTGGGCGGCCGAAAGATTGCCACCAACACCGAATTCTAAGATCATCCTCCCCTGGTGGAGGCAACCCTCTGTTTTGGTGATGGTGTCAATTTCCAAGCCTCCAAGCGTACCTTCGAGAGCTTCTGCGCATCTCCCAGACTCCAGGACCCCCGACGTCGTGACTTGCTTCGCAGCGCGGGCTCCTGGGGGCCCAGGACGGTCCTGGGACCCGGCGAGGGCCCCCGTTCTTCCCCGGCATCTCTGGCGCAGGCTCGATCGGTGATGGCGCCGTGGCCCGAAGCGGGGCGGACACCGCCCGTTGCGAGCAGACTGCGACGCCAAGGCCCGGGGATTTTGTTCAGCTCTCTGCGCCAGGTCAAGCGGCAGCGCCTCCAGAGCCTGCACGGCTACGTGGCGAGGACGGTCGTCGTGACGGTGGCGGCGTCGGCGGCAGTGCTCGACACCATGCCAGAGGGCCCGCCGGACAGCGCCAGAGGCCCGTCGGCCGCACCGCTGCCGGGCGGCTCGTTCCTGCTGGACCTCGCCGCCAAGGCTCGACTCAACGGTGTGCTGTCAACCAAACTTTGCAGGGTGGGCCCTTTTCTTTTTCTTTGCACTTCAGCTTTGGCTTCGAATTCAGCTGTGGGTGCACCGTGACAGCTGCCGTGAAGCTCCTTCGGGCCAGCTCACCTGAGTCGGTTTTCCGCGCGCACGGGTGCTTCCCCTCCTCTCGCCAAGGCTCGGGCAAAAAGACCTGCACACAGATCTTCGTCTGTATGATTATTTCAACCAGCGGTTTCTGATAGATTTCGGCCCTCTGGGGCCCTTTCTGGGACCACATCAGTATGTATGTATGTTTGCATGTATGCTTGTATGTGTATGTGTATGTGTATATATGTATGTAGTTATGTATGTATGTATGTATGTGTGCATGTTGTATATGTTTATGTGCGCATGCACATTTATATGTATATATGTGTATTACGCATAACAGCATTATCTGACGATACATATGCATACACATATAACGACCATGCTTGCGTTATACAATTTAGTTTACATCATAGTAGCCACATCAGGATACATCATGCTATACTAGATTAATTATATATGTCATAGTGTATGTTGTCATCGGTTGTATAATACTTTTATGACATATCAACTCATAGTCGGTCATATCGTGCTATGTTTCCTCCGTGTCAGCATGTAGGGCAATACCTTATGCCAGCTCACAGTTTGCGCATATTGTATATATATATATATATATCTATATATCATATAATATGTTCTGTTTTGCTGTATTGCATTACAGTATGTTGAACGATGTAAGAACTTCTGGTGTATACCGCTGGGTATATGGCATAACATATTTGTTCGCTAGACCAGCTTACAACATACTCCACGGCGCCATACGTGTTTACATGTTTGGCTATGCCATGCCGTATAGCTTTCTGTTATGGGAGATGCGTTGCTCAACTATGGTGAGTTACGGTACATAAATCGTACTCGTTTACGTGATGTTGTATTCAGCATCGTATTGAATACGTTATCACGTATTACGGACCTATACATATATGTATAGTTCTATAGTGTCTATATTCGATTCGCTGATGCCGTTTTGTATCTTATTACATGCGATGTAGTATGCCCTATCGTATGATATTAGTATATATTTATACATACGTATATGTATATATGTATTCATGAACACATATCATAACATACCATAACATACCAACATATCATGTGCAGTGCATCATGATACATTTTATCAAACGGCCGTACACTATATGTGTGGATGTGGATGTGGACGTTTATGTAAATTCTGTACACCTTCTTCCTCGAACATTCTTACAAGGCCATCCCCCCGTACATAAATTCAGCCCAGGGCGCTCCCACCGCCCGAACGAGCCCAAGATCGCGTCCCGGACGGTCCCACGGAGCACCAGAATGGTCCAATACAGCCTCAGGAACAGCCCGAGGGGGGCCACGGAAGAGCCCCCAAGAGGCCCCGAGGCGGCCCAAGGGCGTTCCAAGACGGCCCAATGCAGCCTCAAGACGGCTCGCACGGCTTCCCCAGGCGCCCCAAAACGGGCACCGACAGGACCCCCGAGAAGGCTTGAGGAGGCCAAAAACATAGTTTCTTTGACAGATTTGGGAATTCCCGCCTTTTCGGGCAAAGAGCGGCCCAAAACGGCTCTGACGGCTTGCGAGATCGCAGCAAGACGGCCCAAGAGGCCACACACTTAGTTTTTAGATCGGGTTCAAGGGCACCTCGAACGTCTGGGTTAGCCACCGCTCCACGACCGTGAAGGCCAACCGTGGACACGCCACGCCACGGCCACGGAACTCGTTCCGCGGGGATAAGTGCTGAACGCGGTGAACGGCAACCACCCGCCTGGACCTCCGCCAGGCGCCCCGCCAGGGACCTCCGGGCCCGCACCTCTTCCAGGCCCTGGAGGAGGCGGCGGTGGCGCAGGCGGCGGACCCCCGCCGCCCGGTCCTGGCGGAGGAGGAGACCCAGCTGGACCTGCACCGCCAGACGCTGACGACGACATGTTCCTCGACCTGTCGGGACCGATACCGCAGAAGCGTCCCCGAAGTGATCGTCAGCCTCCCGCGCCACCAGCGCTACCAGCACCCGATCAGCAGCCAGCCATCCAGCAACACAACTTCGGCAACATCGAGCATCCCGAAGCGAATCAGCGTGCTCATAAGTACGCCGAGTGGCTGGCACGCCGCCAAGGAGACGGCGATTTCACACCCAGTGGAGGAGCGAGCGGCAGTGGAGGACCGGCCCCACCGCCTTCGGGAGGAGCCGTGCAGCAGCCTCCGCCGCTGCCACCGCCCGCGGAGCAGCCGCCACCAGCGGCCGCCGACCCGCCGTCGTCAGACTCAGGCGATGCTGCCGCTCCTGCAGCCGCCCCCGCCGATGCTGCCGCAGACTTTCGACCTCTTGAACCTGCCCCTCAGGGCCCGGTCGACGACGACATCGAGTCCGACGATTCGGACATGATTCGAGAATGGGCCAAGATTGCGGAGGAGCACGCGCGCCAGGAGACGATGGCGCGGCGCCCACCGGACACCGAGGACCAGCGCGGCACCGGGACGCAGCGCCAAGTTCGACAGGAGAACGCACCAGTGGCACTGCAACGCGACCGCCAGCACGAGCTCGACCCCCGCGAGCGCGCTGTCAAGCGCAAGGATCTCTTGGACGATCTGCCCAAGTGCTTCAATAGGCCGACGGACACGAACAAGGTCGACCTCTACCTAGACAACTACTTCCAGAAGCACGCGGACGAACTCTACGCAAGCACACGACTCCGCGAGGCACTGCTCGCGGGCAACGCGATCGCCAAGGAGCTCAAGCACGACGCGCCGAGCGCCACCGAGAAGAAGAACAGGGACGCCGCCATGAAGACCGAGCGGTCCAAGTGGACGGAGTTCGGCGCCTACAAGAAGCTCCCGCCCAAGGAGCTGAAGGAGCTCCTGCGGCGCAACCCTGGTATCCGCCCTGTGAGCACACGCTGGGTGCAGACCAGCAAGGGCCAGAACGTCATGAAGGCCCGCTTGGTCGCGCAGGGCTGCCAGAAGGACAAGTCGCAGATCAGGGCGGACGCGCCTACGGGGTCCAGGGGCGCGCTGTACCTGACCCTAGCCGCTGCGGCCCAGAAGGACTGGGGCATCTCGTCCTGCGACGCGATGGCGGCCTACCTGCAGTCGGGTAACATCGAGAGGCTACTGCTCCTGCGCATGCCGGCCAGGAACCCGCCGCCGGGGACCCAGCCCGGCGAGATCGCGATGGCCACAGGCGCGATCTACGGGACGCGCGACGCCGGGAGGCAGTGGTACCTCTACGCGCAGAAGGTCTTCGCCGAGCACGGTCTCGCGGAGAGCAACATCGAGAAGGGTCTCTACTACTTCTACGACGAAGGTGGGCTCGCCTCGGTGGTCCACTCACATGTGGGCGACTTCCTGATCGCCCAGTGCAACATCTCCACCAAGTGGAAGACCACTATCGCATCGCCGGGGAAGAGGCTGCACCTCAAGCCGGTCGAAGGGGTCATCAAGTATTGCGGACGTGCGATTACCGAGCTCGACGACGAGTTCCGCGTGACCCAGGCCACCGCTGCCGCGCAGGTGGACTACGTCGACCTGTCGGCCCAGAAGGGCCGAGGTGCCGAGGATCGTCTCACCGCCGCCGAGGCGACGAGCTACCGCCGCCCGCTTGGGCAGCTGCTTTGGTTAGCGGTGCAGACCTGGGTGGACATCGCATGCCCGGTGAGCTTTGCAGCTCGCCGCGCCAGCGTCGCTACCGTGGCCGACGCGAAGGCGCTCAACAAGACCGTCGCCTACGTGCATTCCACCGCGAATTTCGCGATCTTGCTCAAGCGCAAGCTCGTCGACCTGAAGACAGCCATCACCGCGTGCTTTAGCGACGCCGCGTTCGCCAACGTGGACAGCGTCGAGAGCCAGTGGGGCATGGCGATGGGGCTCACCCACCGCCCGCGTGACGTCGTCGGCGGCCGTCACGACCCGTGCCTGCCCGTCGCCTGGCACTTTGGCACAGTCAAGAGGTCGGTGAAGTTGACCCTCGCTGCCGAGGGCCACGCCACCCTCGAGGGATCGGAGACCAACATCTGGTTCCGACAGCTGCTGACCGAGGCCTACAACCCCAAGACGGCGCTCAAGCAGATCGACGTGCTCGACAAGCGCCCTGGGGAGATCTACAGCGACAGCAAGGGTCTCGTGACGTACATCGCTTCAGATGCGGGCCAGTCGACTGACATGCGGTTCCGCATCGTCGCCTCCGTGATCAAGGAGGCCGTGCACCCCAACAGCGCGCTCAAGCTCAGCTGGATCCCGACCTGGGCCATGGTCGCGGACGCCTTGACGAATGCGATGGAGGTGGGCGTCCTGCTGTCGCTCTTCGAGGCCCGCAAGCACACCTACGGGGCCCGGCAGCCGCGCGCCGCCATGCTCGCCTCAGTCCTGTTCACCTGCCTCGGCAAGGTCAAGGGACAGCCTGCGCCTACGCCGACTATGCCGGACTAGAGCTTCTACATCTGCCTGCCGACGTTCACGCTGGCCCTCGGCATGACTATCAGTTTCGGCATCTTCATGGCGCTCTTGACGATCATGAGGCAGAACAACGCGATCGCCACCGAGGAGAGCGTCGCCGAGGCGAAGGCTATGGGCGAGCACCCTGGCTGGGACGGCCGCGTGATTGGCCGTCGCCGCAACGTACCACCTACCATCCCAGAGGGCCGTGATCACGGCGGTGACATCACAATGTCCCACGCGGACGTTTTCAGCAGTGCGCAGGCATCGAGTTTAGTAGCATCGGCTGCGATTCAACAGCCGCCGCCGCCACTGTTGCCGCCAGAACCGCCGCCTGCCAGCGCACCGCCATCACCATGTACCGCAGCATCAGCACGGGGATCTGGACGATCAAGATCAGCGAGATCTCAGGGAAGTTCGGCCCCTGCATCGCCAAGCGTCATCGCTGTGACGAGTTCATCGAGCTCAGTGTCAGCCACGTCAGCCAGCGT